TATAAACTAAAAGCGTGAATAATGATTCACTTCTAAGATAAAGTGATAACTAAGAACTTAAGGAAAGTAACAATAATTCAATAATAGAAACATGTGAGAAAAGTAATACTAATTCAGCAGCAACAAACGAAGGTAATTCATTAGTAGAAGTAATTTCTCCGACAAAAAGAGTAAAGAACACGCAAATAAATTTTTTAAATAATTTAGCTGAATGTGAAATATCTGAACCTTTAAAATAATCTTTTGAAAATGTAAGAAAAGACTATCTTAAAATTATAAAAAATTAAATTTCTTAATTTGTAAAAAATACAGAAGGACTAGATATTATAAATAATAGAAGTTATTAAACATAAACTGTACTAATAGAAGACAAAAGTAATAAATTAAAAAACATGTAAAGATATGAATCTAAAATAAGAGATTTTTCTATTTATTAAAAAAAATAAAGTGATAAAAGAACAGAAAATAATAATACATAATAATAAAATATAAAAAAAGAATAACTTATCTAACAATAAAATAATTATATAATACAAAATGAAATTAATTAAGAATAAAGTGAGATTAATAAAGATAAATTTATCAAAGAATAATAATAAAAAGTAAATAATAGTAAGCAAATGACTCATTTAATAATAATAATAATAATAATAATAATAATAATAATAATAATAATAATAAAAATTTAAAAAATAATAATAATCTTAATAATTATGATTCACCATCTTCCTTTGAATTTATAAAATATAAAAAAATATAAATTGTCCATAAATCAAAATAATAATTTGATATAAAATCATTTTTTCGTTTATAAGAAATTTAATAATAGTTTTAATAAAAATATTAAATTACTTGTTAAGAAAAAATATAAATAAATGAAAACGATAAAAATATAAAATAAGATACAGATATTGATAGTTTAGTCTCTAGAATTTTAAAAGAGTAAAAAGAAAAAGGTACTTATGAAAACAAAAAAAAATATAATATAGAATAAGACCAACCTATATAAGATATATTAAATAAATAAGGAAAAAACTATTAAAAAGAATAAAATAATATAATTTAATGATAAATTTATTTACACCTGATACAAATTTACTATTTTTAAATTAAATATTATTTTTATTTTAATAATTTTTTTTTTTTAACTTAAATATAAAAATAAATATAAATAAAAATATATTTAAAAAAATAAAAATAACAATATAATTTTAATTTTTATAATATTTTTAAAAACGCAAATAACAAAAAAAGAATAGAAAATTAAATGTTAAAATTATTTAAATGAATTAAATTAAAAAATATATTACAAATAAATTTCTAAAAAATAATTATATATATATAAAAAAAATGTATATTAATAAATAATTATATATATATATATATTTTAAATATATATATATATTATATTAATATAAAAAAAATTATTTTTTTTATATTTTTATCTTATAAATTTTACTATTTTTTATATATATATTTTTATTTAAATATACATTATTTTATAAATATATTTATATATATATATTTTTTTTATTAATTTTTTTTTATTTAATAAATTCTCTATTTTTAAATGTGTTAATGTTAATATATAGATATTAATAACTAATATTACTTTTTTATTATTATTTTTATTTATCATGAATATTATCCTACATTACTTTCTAAATTTGTTAATTTATTTACACAAGCAATAATTAATTATTAAATTTATGTTTTTTCCTTTTTAAGTTCTGTTATTTATGCTTATAATTTTGCACTTTCTTCTTTTTATCCAGCAATTGCCATTTTTAAATTTTTCAATAATGCAGATATAGTTGGTTTACTTGTATTATTTATTTCTTCATTATATAAATGAATATCCTATTTCATTTATGACATATCTTAACGAAGTCCTTCAATATCCTTATTATATTCTCCTAATTACTTTGTAACTAAATCCATAATACTCTTTATTGATATTAAAATTTTTTATTAATATAAAAAATATAAACTTTATTTACTTTAACTAAATTTATGTGATTCTTTACATTAGTACAAGTTAATTAATCGAATTAAGAGTTTTTCATATCATTTTCATCATCGTAATGCTTTTGAGAATTCTTTATATTTAATATAAATATAAAATAAGTATATATTATTCATGTTTATATTTGCATTTTTTTTTTTTTCTATTTACATCAATCATCATTTTTTTTTAATTATTTTGTTAGTTTTTTTTTTTTTTAAAAAAAAAAAAATAATGAAATTAAAAATAAAAATAATTATTTATGTATTATTATTTTTAAAGGAATTTTTTAATTAATAAATATTAGTTAATAATTTCAGTTTAAAATAAATAAAACAAATATTTCTAATATAATCTAATAAATATATATTAAAATAAAGAATAAATAAAAAATTACTAAAATTAAAGAAATTTATTTATTTATTAAATTTATTTTATAATTTTTTTTTTTTCTTTTTTTTTAAAAAACAAATAAATATAATAAACAAACAATAAAAAGACAAGAATAATTGATAATTGCTTCTTTTTTTTTGATTGAGTTTTAAAAAATAAAATTAAAATATGAACAAGTTATATATATATATTAAAAAGTCATTAATTAAAACTTTAATTCATTCATTTTTTTATTTTTAATCATGAGTAAAAACTTATGAAAAATACTATGAATTAAAACATTGATTGCTTTCGTTAATTTTCGAATTTTTATGCTATGAGAATTTATAAAAATTATTATTTAATTTTGTTTATCTTAATGATTCATTAGATTTACAAATATTAAAATATATTTAATCCCCTTCTTATTATCCAAAAAGGGCATATAGTATTTAAATTATATTTTATTTTTTTATTTCTGATTAATTAATATTCATTTATTATCTATAAATAAAAGAAAGTCTTGAAATTTCTTTACATTTCAATTTATTAATTTATTAAGTGATATCAAAAATATTATCCCTTATTTATTTTTTATAATTAAACTTTTCTAAATATTCTTTAGGGAAAATATCAATATTAAAAGCTATATTTTCTAAATTAATTCTATTAGATATTTTTACAATATTGTTTTTTATATTTTCCACTTTTATATTTTCTAAAGAATTATATTATTTCCTAATTTCCCCTTTTTTAAATGTCTCATTTAATATAAGTTAATGATTTTCTATTTAAATTTGATATTAAGCCCATTTTATTAAAAAATTTATAGATTCATCATCTAAAAATTCTGGGAAAATATTATTATTTTTTAATTCATAATTAATCTTTAAAAGTGCAATTACTATCCACAAAAGGCTTTACTTGAATAATTTTTAGTCTTGTTTAAGAGCATTTATATATAAGTTTTTTAAAAGTGTCCTAGTTAAGTTTCTTTTTTCCTTAAATTATATAATTTTTTTTGGGTACTATCAATCTCTTCTTCATATTATTTAATTTATTTTTCTAATTCTTTTTTTTAATGATTAAACTACTTTTTCGCTTCTTTTTTTAATTGTTCAAAGTTATCCTGTTTTAATATATATTCGGTATTTATTAAACTTTTATATTTATTTAATTTTATTTTTGTTGACTTTTATTATTCGTTTGTTATCTTATTACCAAAATTTGAAAAGATTTTGACTTAGGTTTCTTCTACTAAGTTAAATTGATTTTTCTTTTATAAAAATTCCTCATTTAATTATATTAATTAGTTTGTAATATTGTTTTAATTAATTCTCTATTAATTAATTTGAATTCGAAGATTTTTTAATTATTCTTATTATAATTAATATAACTTAATTAAAAAGTTTTCATTTTTTTTAAAGTTTTATTCGTCATTTTCTTCTTTTTTTATTTCTTTACTTGATTTGTTATTTTTCATAATAGGAAGTTATATCTAATTAAATAAATTTTTCTTTATTTCTTATATTTCCATTATTTTTTCTGAATTTTTAAACGTATTTGATAAATTTTTAAATGTCAAAATTGTTTTCCTTTCAAAATTATTAATCGTTTCTACACATATATTATAATTTTTATAATTATTATTACCATTAAGTTAAATCTATAGACCATTTTTTTATTTATTTTGAATACTTTAAGACATTTTCTTTAATAAAATATCTTTAACAATTTTTTTATTCAATTCTTTTTCTTTAAAAAAGTTTTCGTTTTTGTTTGTAATAAATCCTTTTTAATATATAGTGTTAATATTTTAATTAACGCATTTTTTATTATTTTAATCATTTACAAATACAATATCTAATATTTTTTCATTTAATTCAGGTTCATCTGAGTAATTCTAAAAATTTCTATATATATTTTACTTATTTAAAAAAGATTGTTTATAATTATGTATTAAATTAAATGTTTTTTCTTATTTCCATTTATCCAAATCTATAAAATAATGTTTTTCATTATCCATCTAATTTTCCTTTTAGGCTTCTGAAAAGCTTTTCTTTTATTTCATTTTAATATTTATAAATAAAATATTTTTTTATTTATTTTTAATTTCAATAATAAATTATTCAATTACATAAAAATCACAAATTATAATAAAAAACTTATTTTTATAAAAACAAAAAAATGTAAATAATATTTATTATATTATTTTTTAATATATTATTTTAAAAGTTAATAATATTTATAAAAACAATTAAATTAAATATAAACTTAAAAATATTTATATATATATATAAAATATATGTTCTTTTATTAAATATAAATATAAATAAAATATATAATTTTTAAACATATAATTTACTTAGATAATTACATAATAAATAATATATATATAAATTTTAATTTTACTTTATAAATTTAATTGGGTAATATATATTTATTAAATAAATTCAAACTTTCAAAAAGCCTAAAATCCCACCTGTATTTTTCTATTTTGCTCTTTAAATTTTCTCTTTAAAGTCTTTTTTAAAATTTTCTTCATATTCTAGCATATTCATAATTAAAATTAAATATTGATCATTTTCAGCACTTGCCTTTTTATCTCTGTAAATTTATAAATAACTTTATATATTTATTTAAAAAATAAATACTTAGAATTAATTAAAGTTTCTAAATATTAAGGGAAGAGTGATTTTAATGATTGTTTTATTGAAGCATCTTAATTATTGTTTATTTATTTTTAAAGTGATTAAATTATATCTTCTTTTTATAAAATAATTTATTATAATTATTCATTATTTTAATTAGAATTCGATTCTCCATCTTTTTTTTATTAACAGGCTTCAAGCTACTTTTGTAGTTCTTAAATTTCTTTATTTTTTCTTCTTTACTCTTCCATTTGTTTAGATTAATCTTATTCATTATCTTCTATTTCTTATTCTAACTCTTAAATTTTTTCTTATAATCTATTAATTTGTTCTTTTAGTTAATCAATATGTATCATTTAAAATTCTAATTATTCTTCTTTTTAATAATTAGATAAATTACTAAAGTTCTATATTATAGACAAAAATTGAATTTATAAATATACATATATATATATATATATATATTTATATATATATATATTTTACTCCAGAATTATTGTTTGAATCAATATCTTTTTGAGAAATAACATTTTTAGTTTAATCTAATAAATCTTTTCTTAGTCTAATTTTTTTAGTATTTTTTATTATTTTTATTCTTGAACTTATTTTTATTATGATTAAATAGTTTTTTTTTAAATTAAATATTGCTTTCTTTTCCATATTTTAATTTAATCTATTCCAATTCATAAAAGACTTATTAAATTTTAATTAAATAATTGCAAATTTTGCTATTATTTATATCTGATAAATCTAATTTTTCTTCCAAAACTAATTTTTCTATACATCTTTCTAGTTAACTTTCTATTCGATTATTTTTTGAATTTTTTTTTCATTATTAATAATACTTTCTAAATTTTACTTTTCTTAAAATAAAGTTTCGAATTTTAATTATAACTATTAATATTTTTAAAAGATTAAATTATCTTCTTCATTATAATTTATATTGTTTCCTTTTTTATGCATTTCTATTTCCTTTAAAGTTTCATCTAAAAGGTCTTTCAATTTTTAATTTTTATTGATTTCTTTATTTAACTTATCTAATAATTCATTTTTATTTTCTTATAAATGCTTTAATTGAATAATTTGATCTTCTTATTAAATTATTTGTTTTTTTAATTTATCTATTTATACATTTAGATTATTTACTTAATTTTTCTAATCATATGTTTATTATTATACTTATTGTTTTTAATTAGTCTTTTCAGATTTATCTTAATTATTAGAATTCAAATTTTAACTATTAATATTAGTATCAATATCTAATATTTTATCTTCTTTAAATTAGCTATCTTTTTTTGCTAATTGTTTGTTTAAATCTTATATATTTTATTACAAAATTACTTTTTTATATTTAAATTTTTTTTTTAAAAAAATATTTATTTTTACATTCATTAGTTTTATGTTAGGTTAATTAATTTTGCATATCTTCAAAAGCTAAATCTAATCTTTAAATGAATGTTTTTAATTCTTTTATTTCTTTTTCTTTATTATTTAGTGCATCGTCTTTTTCTTTTTTTAAAGAAAGCATTTTTTCTTAATGAATGTTCTTTATACTATTTGTTACATTATCTTATTCTTATAGCTTTTTTTCTAACTATTCTACTTTCTTTGTAAATTTATGAATTTCATTTTGTTATTTTAATAATCTTTATTGCATTTAACTCTCCTATTATTTTAAATATTCAAGTTACTCATTTTATTATTATAACAAGTTCTATTCAAGAATATCACTTATTTAAGATTCAAAGATATCTTGATTTTATGATTAATTTTATATTTCTTTTAATTATTATTTATATTAGTCTACTATTTATTAATTTTTTACTTACAAATCTTATTAATTTTTTTCTAATTATTATATTTTATTTTTTAGTGTATTAATTTGCTTTTCTTTTTCTTTTATTTTTTCAAGTTTTTCTTAATTTTATTTAATTTCATTTTCTAGTGTATTATTTTTTTCAACAATTTAATTTTCTAATTCTTATTTTAATTAATTCTATTAATTAAGTAAATCATTTATTTTTTAAGAATTTTCATTTTCAATCTAAATAAATTTATTATTTAAATATTCTAAATCTTTTTCCAGATTTTAAATCTTAGTTTATAAAAGCTTATTTTCTTCGAAAATTTGGTCTTTTTAAATTTCTATTTATTCATATTTTTTTTAAATAATGTTATTTTATTATAATATTTTATATATTTCTTCTCTTTATTCTTATATTTAAGTTTAATTTTATTCCATATTTTTTTAATTTAATAAATTTTCTTCTTATAATTGAAATACTTTTTGTTAAAGATCTTCATTTTCTTTAGAATATTATATTTTTTCATTTTAAAGTTGCAATATTTAATTTTTATGTTAGTTATTAATTTCATTTTATTAGCTAATTTAAAATTATGTTATTTCATTCTATTATAAACTTGACTAAAATTCTTATATTTAAATTAAAAGTGTATTTACTTATATTTCTTTATTTTTCAATGTCTCAAGGATATTTTTATATTAATTTATTTCATTTTCTAATTATTAATTTATTTGATAAATTTTTTTTCGTAATCTTCTTTCATTATATTTTATTAATTAACTAACCCTTATATTTACATATTTTATAATTTATTTTCATTTTCTAGTTTTTCATAAAGACAATTAATTACTTAAATATCTTTTTTAAATTAATATTATCTTAAAATAAATCTTTATTTTATTCTATATATTATTCATTTTAATAAGCTTTTTATTCTATTTATTTTTATAATATTAGCTTTTCTTCTTCATGAAATTATTAATTTTTAATTATTTCATTTTAAAGTCTTTAAATATTACTAAAATTTTCATCTTTTAATTATTATTATTAACATATTTCAATTTATAATTAATTTATTTATTACTATTAAAATTCTTAGTCTTTTAAAAGTTATATTTTCTCATTTTAATATTATAATATAGTTTAATTAAACTTATTTTAGAATTAATACTCTAAATCATTATTTTAACTTTTTTAATTTTGAATATGATTTATTTATTCTTAATATTATTCTTCAATTTAAATGTTTTTTTTGTTAGTTATTATATATTTTATTATAATAAATTTATACTATTTTAAAGTATAACTATTTGTTTTTCCTTTTCATTTAAATTTTCAGAAATTTATGAACATTATTTTTAGTATTTT